GGGGGGGGGGGAGGAGGAGGAGGAGGAGGAGGAGGAGGAGGAGATGGGCTTTCCTTCATCCCCCTCCCCTCCATTTGCAGGCCCTCCCCGCTGCTCTTCTTAACAACGTCGGTGGCTGCTTCCTGAAGCTCATCAAGGCAGCCGTGTCTTCTGGCTTCACCTGTTTGGACTCTGGCAGAGCCCGGCCGCATCCTCAGCGCTTTGGAAGGGCTGCCACAAGAGGGGGTGCAGGGCCCCTCCTTTATTTGAGCCAGGAAGGAGCGCCTCCTGTTTGCACGGGGTGCAGCCTTTCTCTCTTCTGTTGGAGGCTTCTGGAAGCTCTCTATGCCCCTCCCCCCCCCAGGGGGGGGCAACCAGAGGGAGTCATGGCCTCCTCCAAGAGAAGCTCCAGGTGTGAGAGGGATGCCTGCCTGCCCCGGAGTCTCACCTGGAGGCCTAGAACGATGGGCAGCCATCTTCCGTCACCCAGATTGTGCCCAATGAACCCCTTGAGGGATCAGGGGCACCCTTCCATCCCACGCCTGGCCTCCTAAGGACCTGAGGCCCCCCCTCCCCTGGCCCTTGGTTTCCTGGTGCCCAAGTTGCTGGCGGAGTCCCTGACGGGCACAGGGAGATGCCACAGCAACAGGCTGCACCCCAGCAGGGGACCCAGGCACCGTGGAGGCCGCCTAGCCAAAGGGCCAGAGCTGAGCGGCCAACATCTTTTGGCTTTTGAAGAAGAGCGGCTCTGTGTCCAGCGGCCAGGCCGTTTCCCTCCAGGGAGGCTTTGCTTCTGCCCCACTCTGCAAACGTCCCAGGCACTCAACCCCAGCAGGCACCTCTGGACTTCTCTAGGAACGCAGCGGTGCCACCAATGCAAGCAAGTCGTGTGCGTGCCACTTGTGTTGTGTTGCGTGTGAGTGTGTGCCCTTGGCTCCCCCTCCAAATTCTGTTGCCAGCAGGAAAGGCCAGGCTGTGCCCACAGCTCAGTGCTCGCCCAGAGAGTGGCTTTGGGCTCCTGGCATCCCTCGGGCATCTTCCGTCCATGCACTTCTGCCCTTCGCTCAGAGGGAAGAGGGCGAGACCTGCCCAGCCAGGAGCGTTGGATGGTGCTCACATTCAACGGGGGGGGGGGGGGGGGGGGGGGGGGAGAAGCTCTCAAACTTGAAAATAATGTTCATGGGGCCAAATGGGATTTTAATAAAAATGTGAAGAGTCACTTTAAGTTTTCTGTCAAGTTTTCTGAAGCCCCCAAAACAGGAGCCACAAGATCCTGCAGGTCGGGGAAGAGAGGCAGCTTCCAAACAGGCTGGCTGGGACCTGGGGGGCTGCAGCTCCTGGGCATCAAGAGGGCACCAGGGGAAAAACGGCCAAGCGGTATCTGAAGGGGCAGCTTTCGTCCTCCAAGGGGGGGCTGCCATTTGCTCACAGAGGCGTCTGGCACGAGGGAGTTGCTTGAACCCTCTGGGCCTAGAATTTCCTTGCAAGGGCTTTGGGGCCATGGGGGGAGGGCACCCAAACTGGCTCTTTGGCCTGATCTCTCTTGCTCTGGGGCCCCCTTGGGGGAGCTGCACTACCCTTCCCTGCCAGGAGCAAGAGGGGGCGCTGCAGAGCTGCAAAACCACCGCAGCTGTGAAAAGTGGCTCAAAATGCTTGACTGGCTTCTAGGAAATGCACCCCGCTCCCCTTGTTTTCCAGTGTAAACTCTCCTGTAAACCACCTACCTTTGCCAAAGGAGGCCAGTCTCCCAAAAGAACTGTCTGGTTTGGAGCATAAAATGCCGGGGGCTTTTGAGTTTCATAGGCAAATATATGCAGACACACAATTCCTTGCTTGCGCAGTAAGGTTTATTTCAAAACATGGAATGTCAATATACCTCTTAGTCCATATCCTAAATCAAGGAGCATTTTCTTGTCCTGTGGGGGAAACAGCCAGCCGTGCAGTGCTGGGTCTCGGGTCTGCTGGGCGGAAAAAACTCGCTAATCAAAGCAGCCTCTTTGGGGCCTCCCTCCCCGACTCTGGCAAAGGAGGCCTCCAGCCCCTCCCCAGGGCTTTGGGCTTTCCGCTGAGGCCACATTTCTCCCTACACCCCCCTGGGGATCTCCTGGTCTTTGGCAGGCCCAAAGCGAACTGTGCGGTGTTTTTTAAAAAAGTTGTCTAAATTGTGCAAAAGTGTGCCCACTTGGAAACCGCAGGGTCTCCCAGGGGGGGAGGGGGGCAAGGAGAGCAGCCAGAGCGTCCATGGTCCTCCCCGGTTGTCTTCACTGCCTCCTTGTTGGTGCAGCTGCCTCTTCACACCTTCCCTCGTTGTCCCCCAGTTGCCCCCTTGCTGTTCGGTGGTGGCCGTTTCTTCCCCTGGCAGGGCCAGGTCCAACTAGGGCTTGCATGGGAGACCCTCGGGGCTCGGCTGGGAAGCCCGGGAAGCAGGAAGGGCCAAAGCCCCCTCGGCCTTAGTGCGGAGAAAACCCAGGGGCCCATCTGTGGAGCCCCGCCTCCCTCCAAGGGCCTCGTCTTTCCTAGCAAGGGGGCTGGACCCCCCCCCCCCTTGAATATGGTGTCCAGGGCCACATTGCCTCCTAATGGCTTCAGCTGCACTTCCAGGAGCAGCTTCTCGGTTGCACAGTCGGTGCTGACAACCCCCAAGGTCCAAACTGGCCGGAGGGCTTCACTTGCCCAGATGGCTCCCCTGCCCCCTCTGGGCGCCTTGTGCCACAGCCCAGGCTTCCTGGCTTGTTCTGCCCGTCCAGCGGTCGCTCAGACCTTGGACTCGCTCTCGGTGCTGGTGAGGTTCCCGTTCCTCTCTTTGTCCGCCGTGTCCCCCTTCTCTGTCCCCTCCTCCACCTTCTCATCCAGCCGGCTGGGGATGGACCAGTAGAGGTGGGCATCCATGCGAGCTGCAGCCTCTGCCAGCTCCCGGGCGCTGCAGGTGGGGGTGGGCACCTCGAAGGTCTGGTGGAAGCTGTTGTAATCCACCTCGTAAAACCCATCCTCCAAGCTGAGGACCGACATGAAGCGATGTCCCCACAGGACCTCGTCCACCAGGTAGGAGCTCCGGGCTTGGCATGTCATCCCTGCAGGGGAAATCGGGGGCATTTGGGTAGAGGGAGCAGGACAAGGACAGTCAGCTGCCAGTTCGTATATATTGATTTCTATGTCACCCCAATTCTGCCTTCCTGCACCCACTGGGGAGGGCTCTTCTCTTGATACCCACCTGAGGCTGGGGGCTCTTCCTTGACGGAGGGTAGGAGTTCAGTGGGAAAACGGGCCACAGGCGACCACAGGCACGTGGCTAGGACTGGCTGGGGTGGGATGGGGACGACCAAGCCAAAACCCCTTCGCTTCACCTGAGCTGAAGTGGCTCCTTCCAAAATTGGTTCTGCACCCCTGGCCTCTTTGGGGAGCCCACAGGCCCCACCCACCTACCTGTGGCCTCCACCATCCCCTCCAGGATAACCACGATCTCAAACTCGTCCTTCTGCAGCTGCTCCTTGGACACCTCCCAGAAGGGGCTTTGCTGGTTGATCTCGTGGCTGATGATGAGTGGAGAGACGAGGAAGAGCCGGTCGTCACCTGTCTCGAAGCCCACGCTGATGTCCGTCTGGTTGAGGGGGATGAACTCCCCTTCTTGGGTCTGCTTGGACTTGATCAGCTTGGCCCGGATCGAGGCCTCCACGATGTGGGAGTTGCGCAGGTCGCCCACCCGGAACATGAGGCAGAGGTGGTCGTCCCGCAGCGAGATGACGGCGTGGGAAGAAAAGACCAGGGTCTCCGCCCGCTTGTTGGGCTGGGAGATCTTGACGAACATGCAGCCCACCATGAAGGCATTCACCATGGAGCCCAGGATGGCCTGCAGCAGGAGCAGCACGATGCCCTCGGGGCACTTGTCGGTGATGACCCGGTGCCCGTAGCCAATGGTGGTCTCGGTCTCGATGGAGAAGAGGAAGGCCGAGACGAAGCCGTTGAGGTTGTTGACGCAGGGGGTCCAGGCATCATCCCCCAGGTGGTCCAGGTCGCCCCGGCAGTAGGCGATGAACCACCAGATGAGGCCAAAGAAGAGCCAGGTGACCGCGTAGGCCAGGATGAAGACCAGCAGGCTGAAGCGCCACTTCAGGTCCACCAGAGTGGTGAAGATGTCGGTGAGATAGCGGTAGGTCTCCCGCACGTTCCCGTGCTGGACATTGCACTTGCCATCCTTCTCCACGTAGCGCTGGCGCCCACGCTTCTTCTCGGCCTTCTCGGGGCTCTCGCCCAGGCGCCGCAAGGCCGCCGACTTGCCTGGCTGTGAGGAAAGGGGCGCTTTGCCCTCAAAGACAGGGGTCTTGGGGATGGCAGGAAAAGCCGGGTTGTCCTTGGCCATCGTAGCACTGGGCAGCCTCCAGATCTGCAAGGAAAGCCAGGCCAGAGCCCCGAGTGAGGAAGGCGGCACAGCGGAAGGCCACAGACCGCACAGAGAAGGAATCTCCCTGGGGCAAAACTGAGGGTTACTAAGCTGCTTTGGGGAGCGGGTGGGCTGAAAAGAGGGGGGGTGACCCCATTTGGGGGTTGCCCACCTGGGACACAGAGCTTGAGAATTGAACCATGCTCCCAGGAGGCTTCTGGGTGTCTGCGGACTGAACTTTGCCCTTGGAAACACACACTCTGGGTTTTTGCAAAACACGGACTCATCAGCTGTCCATAAGTGTTGGCTTTGCACAATTGCAAGCAAACAGAGCACACAAGTGGACCCCACCCTTCACGGTGGTTTGAGAGTCCAGAGCAGAGGCAAACCCTGCCAGTGCCTGAGGGCCTGGGGGAGGGGGTGTTTGCTCAGGAGCAGGCTAGACTGCTCTGCTGCAGGGCCGGCCCTTGCCACCACACTTCGTGCGAGGCCAGGAGGAGAAGCTAAGAAACTACCCAGATGGCCTCTTCTCCAATTAAGAGGCAGGCTATTTTTAAACAGTGCCCACACTGTGAAACCAGTTGAGGTTGCACCATTGAAATGAGCAAAGGTTCCCTGCGCTGTAAATATTCTCCAGGCTGCTTCCTTGGAAAGCAAGTGACCCTTGAGCCAGTCCAAAAGCTTCAGGGGGAGGGGGAAAGGGGGGGGCGGCTGGGTGGCAGGAACCGAGGAAAAGAGATTTCTTCCGCCCTCTTGAATCCAGGTTATCTAGAGACTCTGCTGGGTCACCGTTTCTGGACAGGCCAAAGGTTGAGCCCTGCTTTTAGACGAGCTTCTTGCGCTCGAAAGGCTGCTGGCTTTATAAAGTGGCCATTGGGCAAACCCTGGGAGGAGGAAGCGGGCAGGACTGCTGGGATGGGCCAGGTGGGCTGGAGTCTGTCTGAAGGAGACGGGGCAGCCTGCGAAATCTTTTTGGCTTCTCGTTGTTCAGGGACTGTAGAAGAGAAACGGCTTGGCCGCTGTGGGAACAAGGGCCCGTTCTCTGCCCTGACGGTGAAGTCCATTTCCATTTTTCCTGGACTGGGGGTGGGGGGAAACCTTCAGGAAGCCCTAGGTATCCCCCCTTTTCTCCCTCAAGGGCACGGGGTGAGTTGGCAGCTGCAGGTGTAAACTTGCTGAGTGACAGGCCTCCCTGCTCAGCCTCCATGCCACATGTTCTATCAGAGAAGGGGGACAGAAATCTGATTTCATTGGGGGGGGGCAGTTTGACTGCTCTGCAGGGCCCCCAACCTGAAACCCACTGCCAGGAAATCCATCCACTCCCTCAGGGGTTAGCTGGGCCACCTTGTCCCACCCCTGGAGGACACAGGCCCTGGGTGGGGGTGGGGTCCTACTGGCCACAGGGGTCCCACACATTCAACCCTTGGGCCAGGGGCTCACGGGACGACCCCTGTGCTGAGCTGAGCCTGCAGGAGTCCCAGGCCTGCCTCCACCTCCTAGCAGGCTCCAAACCTCTCTGGCTCCGGAGGCTCCTGAGTTGGCGTGAAATATCATTTATTTAGCCCACGGATGTTCTTATTAGGAACTAAGATGAATAGCAATAACCGTGTTGACATCCACAGGGAAGAGAATACCTGGCAAAGTTCATAGAGAGAGCTGCTGGTTTTTCTCAAGCACAACCTTGGCTTTTCCTCTTCCTGCTCCGCAAGCCCAACCCATGTTTTAGATTAATAATACGGGGGAGCGCACCTATATTCAAATCCCCTCCCCCAAATTTGACCAAAGACGGCCTATCCAGCAGGACTGCTATTCTAGTGAAGGAGGCGCCAGAACTCCGCTCTGCCCTGATTCCTGAAAAGAAGGCCCCATCGAATTGGGGGGGACCTCAGAAGCCCCCGGAAGAGGAAGGATGGACACGCAAGGGCCCCCTCCGCCCGGACAGAGCCGCCGGGGACCCCCACCTCCCCACCCCCACTGCCCCGACCGGGCCAGCCCTGGGCTGGAGCTGTCCTCACCTGGTGGTGCTGAAATGGCTCCGCGCTCCGGACTGGGCGATTGCAGCAGCTCCGCCTCGCACACTCATCTCGTCCGCCGCCCGCAGGACATCCCTGGCTGGGGGTGAAGCCCAGACCAGACGCCCGGGCCCGCTTCCTCCTCCTCCTCCTCCTCCTCGACTTCCTCCTAAATTTAGCTCATCTCTGAGCCCGATCTCTCTTCCTCTCCCTCCCTCCCGATGTGTGTGTCATCTACCCCCTTCCCAGGCGCCCTTTCTTCCCTACCGTCACCAAGGCAACTGCTCTGAACGTCCTCCGGCTGGGATGCTGAATTGCACGGGGATGCGCATGAAAGCCTGCGGTGCACAGATCCCTCGACCAGAAGGCAGTGGAGGGGAGCAGGGTCCTTGCTGGCAACTAAGGGTCTCAACTACACCTCCAGACCCATGTTTCCCAGCAGAGGTCCCTGCGGGCGGAAGCAGAAAGGAAGCTGATTCAACTTCCATGGCTTTTTGGTTTTGGGGTTTTTTGTTTTGGATCTGGGGAGGTGAGACAGTGAGCTCCAGAGGAAACGGATGTTCCTCGGCCCCTGGGCCAGGGGCCTTTCATGACTGCAACCTTCTCTCTCCCACCTCAGGCAGGAGATCTGCGGGGGGTGGGGGGAGAGAATCTTCCTTGCAGGACCCTCACAAAGCAAAGAAGGAGGGTCGACCTGTGTTGGAAGCGATGCCAACTTTTGACCCAGACCAGGGATTGTCAGCTGAAAACTTGCCTACCCCAAGGGGAGGCTGGGCTGTTCAGGGGCCCATTGCCCAAATTGTGGGGGATATACTTAGGGGTCCTTGCTGAAGAGGACACCGACTCAGCACTGCCCTAGAGTTCCCAGTTAGCCTGGGCTGATCCTGAAAAAACTTAGTGGAATTGGATCCGGTGAAGGCTTGGATAGGAGAGCACTGGTAAATCCCATGGATGAGAGCTTGCCTGAGAAGTCGAGAAAGGGCTCAAGAAAAAGGAATGACGCTTCCCCTCCTTTTGCTTCCCAATTTAAAGGAGATTCACTGGAAGCGTTTGATTCCTGTCCACAGAGGTGTTCAGGCACGGAAACCCAGTGCGATGGCCCCAGCCAGCATCCTGGGCTGCCTGCGCGTAAAATGTTTCCTATGACCAAGGCAGGAAAAGGCCTCCCTGAACACCCAAAGGGTCTCTGGTGCTGTGCAGAGCAAGGGAGGGAGAAGGAGGAGTCCAGCTGCGCCTATGAGGCAGAGAACATCAGGATCCAATGGCTTAGCGGCCAGTTGCAAGATGGGCAGAACCTGTGGGAGAAGCTGGCAAAGGGGAAACACATCGGGAATGCCCCAACCCCCTCCCCACCAATGAAGCCACGCTTCTGGCTCAGACCTTGGCGGGGTGCATTTGTGGAACCGGCTTGGGGGTCACAGACCACTCCGGTCAAAGGGTTCCTGCTAACGGAGGCCTGCTCGGCTTCGGCTATGCAGAACCACCGGCCTGTTTTCTGCTTGGCATTTTTTCCAACAGTACCAGAATAATCCGAAAAGAAAAAGAAACGAAGAAGGAAACAAGAAGCAGATTTAGCTTAGAAACAAGAGACCTTTGAAAAGAGGAGGGTTTTGCCTGAAAGAAGATTGGGAAGAAAGGATCGAGGTCCATTGCATTCATTTTCTAGAACGAGAAAAGGAACCGGAGCTCCTGAAAACGTGGAAGGAAGTCCCCCCCCCCCCCAGAAAAGGTCAGGCGCAGCTGCTGCCTTGCCTTCTCACCCCCGCAGTTCCCTGCTTGACAGGCAGAGGGCGCAGGAACCTGCTGAGGGCCTGGAAGGGCTCCCAAGCGCTGAGACCTGCAGCCTCCGGCCAGGGCAGTGGCCCCTGGGGCTCCCTCTGCTGCAGACTAGGCAAGGAGCGGACGTGGGAGCCCCCTGCCCCTGAAGGTGGGTGGGCGCTTCATCCGGGCCAGGGGCTGCGCGCAGGGAGGGCGCTCCCGGGCAAGTCCAGCTCCTCTCTGCACTGGAGGTCGGGGGACGGAGCACAGAGGAGAAGCAAGCAGAGCCCTGCCTGGTTTAACCCAGAGAGCGCAGGGGTCCGGGGACCCCGCCCACCCCCCACCCCCTGCACAGATGAATACAGCCACCCGGTGGGGCGGCCGCCTGCCCCATTTCATCCCCAGCAAAAAAGCCTGGACAGAGGTGGGCGACCCCTGCAGGCAGAGGGCGAGTGGCTTTTAAAACCTATTGGCCTCCCGTCGCCCTGCATGGCCACTGCCCGCTTTGCCTTGTGACCCTTAGCCTGGATGGAGAGCCTTGGTTTCCAGCTCATTAACTTTCTACTCAACCTCTAACCCCGGAGAAGGCAGGGGGCTCCCCCCTCCCCTCCCCTCTGGTCCACGGCCGAATTCTCTCTCCCTCCTTGCTCCTGCTGGTCCCTCTTTCCTTTCTTTTGAGCGCTCCACTTTTCCTCCTCCTCCTCCTCCTCCTCCTCCTCCTGCTTCTCCATTCTCCACAATTCCTGGCAAGGCTCTCGTCTGATAGGCCGGCTAAGGACGTCAGTCGCCTCCCTCGGCTGCCCCCTCCTTTAAAAAAATAATCCTTTCATTCACTTGAAGTTGAACAAACTTTTGTCAGCCGTGGAGAGGGGGAAAAGGAGGCATAAAATCCATGCTCCCCCATCAGCCTTGCAGAGCGCCTCACCCGTCTTCCCCACGGTCTGCGCAGCCTTGCAGCCTCTGCCTCTCCAGCCCTGTGGGGAGAAAGCGTCGCCCGGGGTCAGCCGGGAAAACAGGGGAGCGGACTCCTTCCTGGTCAGGCGAAAGGCGCTGAGAAAAGGTCGCCTGGAGGTGAAGGTCCCCCGTTTGCAGTCCAAGCCTTCTCCAAGCTCAAGGTAAGGCAGTCCAACCTTGGACGTGGGAGGTTCAAAATGTGCCCCCATGGGTCGGGGCCCCTCTTGCTGGCATATCTGATGGGGGGGGGATGCA